GTGAGAGTTTTGAACCATACTCTCTCTCAGCACCCTAACACTGTTTTATTGAGATAGATTTGAATAATTACAAGGAGGCCCTTAGTTGGGCAAGAAATTACAAAKAACWTAATATAGACAGGATGGGCCCAGAATAAGGCCCATTACAGAAAAACATAAATAATAAGAAAAGAATAAACAGCCTATGGGCCATTCGGCCCATCTTCTCTATACTTTTAAATGAATAAAGTACATTATTGTTTCATATTGATATTGGCATGTTTTTTTGTGAATTACCCCTTAAACTGGACACTTATGAGACTCGTGTTAGTTTAAAATGTTCTCAGCCAATGGATAGACTTGGGGAGTTTATCCTGCCCAAGCTGACACTGGTGTGCTGCCAAACAGTTGGAGTAGCTTGTCTCAGGTGTTAGGGTTAGACCCCAAGCACAAGCAGTGTGTGTTTGGAAGAAACATTGAACTTTGACCGATTTTCGGTTATGCCCTAGACCTTGTGGATAGATGGGCAAAACTGGAAAGTCACACATACCAGACTTAATTATGGTACTGCACTAGGTGTTGGATTGAGTTGTCTTTGATATGCCAATCAATGAGATCGGTCAAGGGTCAACACCTAAGCATGTTGGGGTAGTTTGGGAATTCACCTGAGTGGGTGATCATAGTGATAGGATTGGCTCCCTTGTCGAACAAGGTGAATATTAGGGTTTACACTTTCTCTGTTGGAAACTTAAACTGTCGGCAGTGGATTTCAACTGTATTTGAAATCTGTTTTTCCAAAATGTATTTATATGTTATATACTACTATTTTACGAAAAAGGCTTGCAAAAGGTTTTAATCCTGAGATCCATCTGAGTAGAGTGTGGCACTTTACCTTACAGGTAGGGTAGAGGTCCTTCCTTGTCGGGCAGTGTTATGATCATTATGGGTTGGGAGGTCAAGTGTAAGAGACCATTACAAGGCTGATTACCTGATGGGCTTTAGCTCACTTAAGTCTTGTTGTGAAACTTGTTTATTGGTTTGTTGTTAGTATGCTGTCAGCCTGGTCAACCTAGGTGTTGTCAACTAGTTTTCCTTTCTTTCTTTTTTTTTGTTATTTGTTTATTATTAGGAATTGCCACCAAGGGCTTCTCCTCTCTCTTCTCTTCTCTTCTCTTCTCTCTCTCTCTCTCGTATCTCTCTTAGGAAAGAACAAAAGTCTATTATCTTTGGGTCTTCAGAGGGTGGCTGAATACAAAGATCATTTAGGTGTAAATGTTGGGCCAAACTAAGCCCATGCTGATTGGCTCAGGGGTTCACTGCTCTAAACAGTGAATTTGGCCTAGCCTCTTATAGAGGTGGGGCCGGACCTTTATGGACTTGAGAATGACCTTTGTGGGGTCCCATGCCATACAATATTAGGCCTAAAGTAGCCATGCAACACCTAGGGTCGTGATCTTTTGAAGAAAATGGGTCAAAGGCCCAATATTAATAAGATTAATTAAGTTGTCATGTGATTTGGGTCAAATCTGGTTTTGGTATTGGGTAAGGAGCACTTATCCTATCAAGAGGATAATGTTTAATTATTAAAAGAGTCCAAATCCAATTCAGATTTGGATAATCTCCTAATTAGATTATTAAAGTGCTCCATTAAGAGATTTTAGGACTGATATTTAGCTGAATCGGTTTTCTGGACACTGCGCCATCTCTAGTTAGAGGCCAGTTTTAGGACTGATATTTAGCATGAACTACCACCTTGGGAGCTGTGATTTGTGGTCTCCATATCAAGTATAATCTCCCTTCTCTTTGGTTTCAAATTTGGTCTGATTCAATGCAAAAACGGCTATGAAATTTTAGATTTCAATTTACTAGGAAATCGGTTCCTGAGAAGGTTAGAAAAATTTTTGAAATTTCGGCCAGCCATCTTGCATGGTTCGACCATCCATCTGATGGATTCTAACCCTATCCCAACAGTATTTACACTTATAGTTACTTATGACTGGAAGGTTCTCAAGTAATAATATAAGGAATTCATATGATAAGTGGGACTTATCATGGGAGATCTGGCTGACCTAGTTACTTACAGACTTAAAATATCTTAACTAAGTGTGAGCCCGGGTGAGTCACGTAGTTAGCACATACATGGTTTCATAAGAAGGTGTAATGTAATCTCAACCATTGGGAATGTGACTCCAAACAGCCATATGGATGTATATTGGGATATAAACTGATATGATCCGGTTAAGTTGACTTATTGAGGCTGCATTTATTTACGGTGTAAAACTCGATCGATGTAAAAGTCTATTGAAGGAGTTCAACACCGTTAGTTTAAAATTTGTGAACCATTGTATTTTGGAAAACGTGATTATCAATGTAGCATTACATCGATTTTATCGATGTACTATTTCCATCAACTATCGAAGTAAAACTCTACCATAAATGGAGTTCTACATTGATTTATGATGTAAAACTACACTCCATCCAAACGCCGACAAATACAAACCAGAAATGTAATTTTATACCAATCTTTATTTACACCGCAAACAAACGCCAACATATGCAGACTAGGAGTGGAGTTTTACATCGGTCTGCATTTACACCGCAAACAAACACAGCCTGAATGATTGTTGCCCAAAGTCTTTTCTGTCCTTGGACCTGAGAAGTTATAGGATTCTACAGTTGTGATCAATCACTTGGATATAGCATAAGGATGGAAGCTAAAGAGTTGGGGCTATGAGACTCCATAGGTTGGGTGGCTATGAAAGATCCATAGTTCGAGGACTTTTGTACAAGTCTTCGGGTAACATCAAAATGAGTATGGGTGGAATCCTAATTAAATAAGGACTCCTTGGGGAGGAATCCTAATTGCACTAGGGCTCTTGTATTCTTATTCCAGAGGAAACTAGAGTGAATCAGTGAATATAGGAAGAGTTATTGTGGCACTAGAGGACTTTTAAGAAAATCTCCCAAGGCTTGCCCTATAGTGTCCTGATAGAATTAGGAATCCCAAATGCGCTCAAGCGATCTTATGCTAGTATTTACCTTGAAAGACTTCAAATCAAGAGACCAAGTTTAAGGTGGTTTTCTAGTTACAATATGACTCTTGGTTAACACCCATTAAATGGTGATTGGTCCAAACAATGACTCTATATGTGATATCCCGATCAAAAATGGACAATATAGTGTAGAAGTACAGAATTGTCTTTTCTTTGTGAGAGAGAAGGGGCTGAATGGAGTGATAGACACTGAATACGTTAATACGGGAAACCAATGGGCAGACTTATATACAAAAGGGTTGAGTCGGGGAAGAGTGGACTACATATGTAACAAGCTGGGATTATATGATATATACTCACCAGCTTGAAAGGGAGTGTTAGCGTAGGGGTATTTCTGTCTTTATACTTGTTGAGGTTGCTGATCTGTATTATTATCTTACTTAAATAAGGGCACTTGTGTCTTTTCCATTATATTAATAATATAAACACATGTCTGG